AAATCCTATGTATTAAAAGATATTAGAAACAGAATGAAGGTAGAAGAAACATTTAAAACACACTATCAAAAATTTGAGAGAGCTAAAATCCTTCATTTATGATACAAGAAAAAGACCCTTTAAAGAAGGAAACCTTTAGAGAACAACAACAACAAAAAGTTCTTGAAAATTAAGACTACTCTATAAGAAATGAACATCTTGGAAGATAAATGAAATCAAATAGATGGATATAAACGAAAGTCATAGATGATAAAATTAAGAAAATCTCCAAGAAAATAGAGAAAAGATACAAACAGATAAATAAAAGAGGAAATATGAGAATATTAGAAAATCATTCCAAGAGTTCTGACATCCAAATAATGAAAATTCCAGAAAGAAGGACAGAGGAAGATGGAAGGGAGTAAATAAAGGAAAAAAAACTTAAGAAAATTTTCCTGATGGGCATGAGTTTCCAGATTGAAAGCACAGGGCAAAAGATTAAAATGGACGCACACTTAGGCAGAAATTTTGAAATTTTAGAACATCAGGGAAGATTAGAATATCTTATAAGCTTTAAGGGGAGAAATCAGTTTTATATAAGGGATTAAAACTTAATGGCATCATACATCTCAATAGCAACACTGGAAACTAGGAGAAAAAGGAACAATGTTGCTGAAATTCAGAAGGAAAGCCATTTCTACACTAGTCCAGACTCTTAATGTTAATTATTAGGGAAGAATTAATTTATTTAAAGAAATCAAGGTTTCTAAAAGTTAACTACCAGGTTTCTTTTTCCCCCCTGAGAAACTCCTGGAAAATGTGCTTTATCAAAACCAAGGATTAGGGACTTCCCTGGTGGTCCAGTGGTTAAGACTCCACGCTACCACTGCAGAGGGCATGGGTTTGATCCCTGGTAGTGAACTAAGATCCCACATGCCGTGCAGCATGGCCAAAAAAAAAAAAAAAAGAAAAGGAGAAACCAAGGAGTAAACCAAGAAAACTGCATATTTTCCATGAAACAGGGTTTCTATACCTAGAAAGAGGTGAATGGAATCCCCATGATGATGATAAAGGGAGATCCCAAGACAACAGCTATAAATTGAGAGAAATTTACAAAATTGAGCAGATCAGGATGCTTTGGTAGGGATTTCATCAAGAAGAGAAAACTGTTCCAATATTTTATGTGTTTGAAGAATTAACAGGAAAGTATTTATAATTGGAAAGGACACTGTGGCTAAGTTAGTGATAAGTACATGTATAAATAAGCAAAGAAAGAATGACTATCAACTCTAGGGAGGAAAAGGCTGTGAGGGTGAGTAAAATGATCAAAACATATGGGTTCAAATGCAATAGAACTTAAAACACTGATAATTAATCTAATTAAAAATATGAAAACAATGTAACAATATTGGGAATTTAGGGTAGGGTGTATGTAGTAGAGGTATGGTGGGCAGCAAGTTTTAGAAATAGAATCAGATCTTCATCTACCACAGTGTAAAGTAAACAGAAAATGCCCCCAAATGGAAAATCCAGAAGAAGCAATTGCATATCAGTAGAACCATCAAAGAGCGCAGAGACTACTCAGGTTTGTGGATTCTCTAAACAGCCTGTCTGAGAATCAGTTTCTTCAAGTGTAAAATGGGGATAACCTCTACCATGTAGAGCTGTTGTGGAGATCCAAATACTATGTGCAAATCAGCACGCAAGTGATTGACTCGTGGAGCTGGGAAAGGATAAGCAAGAGTTATATTGGATACTGATCTTAGTAAGCAATAAGAAGAGATAATGGGCCCTACCATATCTTTTGTTCATTGATCCTACACAGCCTGAATATTCAGAAACAACCATGATTTCAAGAAAAGTTTTCAGGTAAAAAAAATCATGATTTGGAAAAAAATTCTACTGGATGAGGAGGATCATCCTTTTTGAACTCCTCTAGGTCAGAAGCTACAGGAACTTGGCTTTGCAGATTAATTCTGTGAGGTGTCAGAGAGTTGGACATATGACATACCGAACTCATCTGATCTAAAATTAGGAAAACACTTTTTCTTTGAAACACTGTCAGAAAAAGTAATTGAGCGCTTTTCTAAGAGGTGATTCGATATTTAAACAAAATCAGGAAAACTGTGTATTTGTCTGCTTTACTTACTGTGCCTTTTGAGACAGGTTCAGCAAAGGGTAAGATGGTCATGAAGCTTCCTCCAAGAAATGCAGGTCTCAAATAATCTGTATTATTAAATTCAGGCTCCATATTGCTGAAGCATCTCACCAGTAAGGAGCCAAAATAAAAGTAACCCTCAAGGAATGACTTATAATGATTGAATTATAAGTTTTCAATCATTTAATCATTGATTTTTAGGAGTTAAAAGTCTTATGATAAACCAAATCAAGTAATGTGAGTAATTAACTCCTGGGAAGTAGAAAAATGATGAGCACGCTATAGAAATTTAACCCAATCATATTTTGAAAGTTTAATACAGTTTTTATAAAACTGAACTTGCAGTACTGATTACATAAGTTTCTGCTTTTGTAACCTAAATGACCTTGTACATTTAAATAATAATAAACTGCATGCTGGACAATGCAATTAGTTTGATGCTAATCTGAATATGTACAACAGAACTCAAGCACAAACTCGGAATAGAGCTCACAGAAGTGCTGTGCAGTCACACTGAACTCTCTTCATGGTATGAAATGGTAGAAACTTTCATTCAAATAGAATGTAAGCCACCTTCCCCAGAATCTCACTTTTCCTCCCAGAGAAATCATCCATTATGGTTCCGTTCTATTTCCACAAAGTGGCTCTTGAGTACTGAGACAACTAAATATTTTTCAGAATATTTAATGCCATATATGGATGAATTTAAAACAGCATAAGAATTTCTTCAGAAATAATCAATAATAAAAATCCTTATTTTTAGTTTAACATATATTTACAAAAGCATATTCACATATTTCTGATATTTAAATTGAAAATAGGCATTATCAAAATAATTGTGTTTTTTTTAATTTACATCATTTTGATAAACAGAATGAAATATTTTACCATGACAGGAGCTATACTATGAAAATCCCATTAAAAGGGACTAGTTTCTAGTTAAGTTGAATTATTCAGTTCAATGAACACATTAGATTTTGCTTTTTTTTTTTTTCAGTCACCACACTGGTGGGCTGAAAATTATCTTGACTTAAGTTGACTTTTACTCCCTTTGATTTGAGCTCTTCCAAATTTCTGAAATGGAAATACTAGAGTTTTATTTTTTATTCAGTCAATAAAATGCATAACTTTTCACTGCTAGGAAAACATGTCATGTACAGATTGAACAAATGTTACAGGAAATCACTTTGATGAGAAATCCTACAGGCTAAAATATATGAAACTGAGATGACATTGCTTGGAATGACCAGTGTCAAAAAAAATCAGCAAAATGAGAAGAAAAAGCAATTCTTTATTTTTATCCAAATATATCAGACTTCATAATTTAGTTTCAACAAAAACATAGAGTCACCATATATCATCCAAACCAGGACATTATAAGAGTGAAAGGGAGTATTAGTAATAATTACACAGGTACAACAGGTATAAACTGGAACTCTCCTGGGTAAACCGGGACCTATGATCAACTTAGCAATAGGGGTTAAACTGCAATTACATGCAGAGATCATACCTTTCCCATACATATGTGGGAAAGTTAAAGGAATAGCATTCACTAAGAAAAATTTGACAACAGTGGTTCTTTCTCATCATTCAGGTCTTCGTTCAAATATCACCCCCTCCCTAAGCCAGTAACCTCTTCTAAAATAATCAATTCTTATTTCACCCAGTCATTTTCCATCATGTTTTCCTTCCCTTAACTGATATTTTGACTCTGAAATTGTGTCATTTGTTTTTTGTCTCCCCTCCCCCCCTCCTACCGATATGCAGTGTTTGAATGGGCAGTGACCTCCTCTGACTTAGTCATATCCAAATCTACAGGAGCTAAAAATGCCTAGAACATTAAAGACATGCAAAAATTTTGTTGAATGAATGAGTGAATATATTTGGAGAGTTTATTTTTGGTCTCATAATCCTCTTGGTGCCAAAAACAAATTAAAATGACTCTCTAAATTAAATTATGGCTCTGTTTAGTTTTAAGTGGTTGGACTAAATGATCTGTGCAGTCTCTTCCACTGATTATAAATATACTGTGACCCCTGGGTCCCCTTCTCTCTCTGCTACTATTTCATTTCCTATATCCAGCAAATAAGAAAGTTTGGGGGTAAGGGTTAGGGCAACCAGCTCTATTCACAGTGGTTGGATGCTCAAGGTTGATCATTTTGCCAGTAACAATTCCCTGGTATATGTTTACACCTGCAGAATTTGGTTGATACAGAGGTAGCCAGAAGGTATTATTGTAGTCAATGATAGAATTGTTGATGTAATAATTTTCCAATACGAAAATCATCACAGGATTGCTAAAAACAATGGGAAATGGTGGGAGCCCAAACCAGCTATTAAGGATTTACAATTTATAAGGAGAAATAGATTAATTCTGGACAGACTTAGATTGCAATGCCCCAAAAAGTTTTATAGGAAAATCCATGATATTCTGACAAGAAGCACTTGTAAATTTTCCTTAAAATCTCTGCATTCCAAATCTTTATTTTTCATGTGTTCTTCTGAGGAATAGTTTTGATTCCTACTAATGAGTCATAAATATCAAACCTTTGGGTTCAAAAAATAGTACTGCTAAAATTATTTTGGTGGGCCAGAGATCCAAGACACCAATAAATTGAGTGTTTACCAAAACAAGACAAAACAAAAAACTCACATGGGTAAAATATCTTCAAATTATCTGATTTTAAATTCTCTCAGGTATATACAAAACATTCCTTCTGAATTGAGTGACAGGCAAGGGATGAAATAGGTTCCCCATGCGAGGAAAAGAGTCTGTCCTGCCACAAACAGGAGAATGGCATAAAGTGCCACAAAGTGGCACAAACAGGAGAATGGCTTAAAAAGAGACTCAATGAGACATACATATTTTACACATAAATACCTATCATCTGTTTCATTGTATTGTTTTATCTCCTCAAAGATAAATTACTGGTTTTTAAAATGACAAAAGTTTGAGAAAAAGAGTGAAAATGTTACCAATTGACTCAGTTTGAAACAGGGACCATTAATTATGTAATTTCACACAGATTCCAATATATTCAATATAACGTCGCTACTGACTATTACAGTGATTCAACATTTGTTCAGAGCTCATAGTTGTATTAGATCATATGTAAAAGATTTCCAGACTTTAATCAGTCCAGGAAAGGACCAACTCTCAAAATGGCAATATTTATTTTTTCCCAGTACTAGCAACTTTTAAAAATCATAAGAAATTGTCAGCGTATTAGTATGCTTCAAAATTTACAAGTTAAACATATAATGGTTTTATTTTTGCAGGGCCATAAGTAGCACAGACTTGTGTGACTCCCTCATATAAAGAACAATTGAAAACCTTCCAGGACCTTAAACAGCAGAAAACGTTAAATCAGATTTTAAAATGACAAATAATTTAAGGCTAAAATATTTGGTATTAATAATTAATGCCAGAAGCCTTCCTAGCCTAATAAAGTAAACATGCACAAGAACTACAACTTTGAACAAAACATCACAATTTTATCAGATATATGTATGTACGTGTGTGTGTATATGTATATATATGTACATATATGTGTGTGTATATATAAAACTATGTGTACACACACACACACATATATATATATAGTTTTATCACCCTGAAAGCTATCAATTCATGTTTGGCTTAATAAGTATGTTAGAAATGTTGTGCAGGGTACTACCCCTTTAAATATATATATATACATTTTCCATAATATACAATATAAATATACCATATATAAATCATGCCATAAAACTAAATGTAAAATTTGCACATTATTGCATGCTTGATGTGATAATACATGCCCGTTAATAAGAACTTCCTTCTGATGTCTTCCCTTTACAACTTTTCCTCTTGCACATTAGCAATACCTGAAAAGGAAGGGTTCTCAAATATGTATATATGACTGGGGGAAAAACTGTACCTTTCAGATTCCTTAAAGAGGATTACCTCATCAGCCAAATATTGGACTATTACCAAATCAAACAGTAAATAATGCCTGAAGGGGTGTTTGGTTATGTGAATCTATCAGAGTTCATTTTTCTTAGTTTTGCCGGAAGATTCCCTTCCATCCTGGCTGCTCCTCCGGCCATCTTTTGAAGCTTTGGTGGCAAATCAGCCACCGACTGGCTCATGGGATCAGACAACATTTTGGTGGTTTTAGATACCAGTTTTTCTTCTGAGTTGCCAGGTACTGAACTTATTCGTTGAAGTTTCATGGGCAAATCACCCAAGCTGTAGGCTTTTTCAGAAGTTGTAGAACTCATTCTCAAGAGTTTTTTGGGAAAGTCTTCTCTTCCAGTAATTTTCTGCAGCTTAGATGGAAGTTTGGTACTAATGTCATCTAGTCCATCTAAGCATTCCACAGAATTATGTCTTTCTTTGCTGTTAGTTATGGCTGGTGCTATTAAAGGGGACGACATAAGAAGCATTTCCTCCTGTTCTTTCACACTGTAAGGTGGCGTGGGGACTTCAAATGTTGCATGGAACTGGGAGTAATCAACTTTAAAGAATCCTTCTTCTAAGGAAATTACAGGGAAAAAACGGTGGCCCCAAAGAACTTCATCTTCAGTGTATGATGTTCGAGCTTGACAAGTCATCCCTGAAAGCAAAAAGGAAGTCCTTGATAAATTACGCATAGCAGAAGCACATGTTAAGGCATTTTGAACTAAGGAATTCATTTTGCTTGTTAACTTAAGAAGGATACTTAACTGCGTATCACTTTCCTCTTCTGTAGAGTAAAATATAAAAAGCAACACCTGTCTTACAGCACTGCTGTGAGCATGAAATAAAATTACATGTACAGAAATGTAAAATGAACCAAAATAGTTGGCTTTTATAAATGAAAGCAAAGACAACCATCCCAAGTATTTGTTAAATGAATAAAAGTTGAAAATATTTCTATGTTGTATAATGTAAAGTCATTGTAGAGATTCCCTTCTTCTGGACCTTTAGGGCCAGAATGAACTTTGTTCAAGTTTCAGAAATCCTTATGCTAAAATCAGTAATCTGGGCCACTGTGATGTTGCAAGTTCTATTCCTGCTATACAAATTTCTGAAACTGGATGCTGGATATAAGATGTGAAATGCTGCTATTTATATATTACGTTGCTTGGATATCATTTACCTTATGCTACTCTGATTAACTCAATTCTGTTCTCATTAATCATATGTTAAGACTAAGTTACTCTTAAATCAGTCAGCCTCTGAATATTCCTTTGTGAAGACTGGAAATATCTGAATAAATTAAAGCCATATATTACATTTCAGTTTTATATTAGTCAAAAGGTACAATTTTCTATAAGTTGCAAAAGTCATTACTGTCCTCTACCTTTACTATCAGACCTCTATTAAAAGCTATTAAAGTGTAAAATAATAGGTGAATTTAAAAAATGCATCTTTCCAATAGTTAAGTATAATTTAAACAAGTAATGACAGTCTTTCTACTTTCATTTCTATTCTCCCTTTGTCACTTTATAAACAATTTCTACTGTGTTTAAGCCTGGTATAGTTTGGATAAAGAGATATTCTTTATTTTTTCCTCTGACTAGCAATCACACATTCAATACTTAGAATTAGAACGGCATAATTCAAAAACCATACTGAAGATAAATTAAATCCTTCACTGAATCCTTCCAAAATCTTACCTTATAATTATTATCACTTCTATATTACCAGGGAATCAGTTGTTATGACATATATATTGTCTTTTTCCAGACAGCGTTTAAAGAAATTTGTGTAGAAAATAAATGCCCATCTCAGGCACTATGTTAGGTGCTCTCTCTCCATATTATTTCTAACCATCAATATCATCTTGATAAGAAAATATTTTTATGTCTATTTTAAAGACAAAGAGTACAATGCTCAGAGAGTTTAAATCTCTTGCCCTTCCTGGCACACAGATCTAGGAAGTTGTAGAGAAAAGTTGGTATTATTCTAACTTCTGTTTTTGTTGTTGTTTTTACTTTGCCATGATGTCTCTATTATTTTAGTTGGGAATCTGATTCTAAACAACTTATCAATCTCACTGTCATGGTGGAAATCTGACAGCGACCCAATACTAGTCTTCATAATCATTATCATATCAGCAGTAGCACCCAGAAATATTTATATGTGAAGATAACAAGATTAGACTAAAAATTGATTTGTACATTTTATAGACATGCACACAGTAAGTATCATTCTTTATTTTCAAACAGATTTCTGGTTTCTGACAATATTTCATGAGAAAAAATTATAGAACATCACTTATTTAGAGAAGATAAAAAGTATATTTCCCAATATATTTACTTGGTTTTATTTTGAGATGTTTAAATATTAAGCAAACTACCTGGAATAAAGAAAAAATATTGATGTTTTTATCCATTAGTATATGAAGCAATAAAATGAGTAAGTACCCTTTATTGTTTAATTGAAGAACTACCCTTTAACTTCTCTCCAAGAGCAATCACTCTCATGAATTCTTTATGTATACTTTCCAGTTCAGGGTATTAATTTATATGAATTTATGAAAAAGGATCACTATAAATGCATATATTAAGAGCTGAAGTAAATTAAGATTATGAACTTTGTTCAATTATTTCTAACAACAATAGATTACATATTGAAACAAAATTTGATTCCTATCACGTTCTTAGCCCATATTTAGTGACTTTTTTCTTTACATTAAGAAAGGACTATGAAATTAAAAATAAAAATTCTTTCCCCATTATTTATCATTATAATGTACTGTGTTGCTGATCCCCAATGCCTACCCTGAGCTGTTTCATATGTAGTTATCAGAAGTCATAGAGAAGAACTAGAGAACCTTAAATGAAGGGGAAAAAATGGGGGAAATAAAATCTTGTAAAATTTTTACTTTGAGGAAACAGGATATTGATAATTAAAGTACTATGACATCTACAATGAAAACAGGTATTTCAAATGTTTGTTCATGTAAAAATACCTGTAAGCATTATTACTAAAATGCCAGTGGATAATTCTGACTGAAAAGGAAGATAGGGATTTTATTCTACTATGTGAAATTGACTTTACTTCCTTTCATAGCAAACTAATACTGGTGAGGCAACATTTTTATATAATTGAAAAATATATAAATTAGGCTTCCTATTACACTACTAAACAGCTTGTAAAAATCACTTAAAGCTCTCTGAGCCTCAGTTTACTCTTCTACATAGTAAGGATAACAATATCCTCTTACAAAGCTGTTGAGAGTTGGAGACAAGTGTACAGAACAGTATTTGGTATCAGGCAACGCTCCATCATAACTGCTTTTCTTTTTATCATTCTGTGGGTGATCATTTGCATTTCCTGTTTTCCCTGGAAATTAGTGATAATGCATTCATATAAGTGGAGAATTTTGACATATTAGTAATTTGTCCCATATTAGTAATATAGAATATTAAACTTAAAAATTGCTAGGTATCACATAGCAATTTTCTTTTGAAATGGTCAACTAAACATTCAAAATATTTCAAAACTACAGAAGAAGATACATTACTCATTTTCTCAATTTTTAGGGTTTCTCAACATTTTCCACTTAGTTATCTAGAAAAGCTTGGAAGACTAAGTATGGAAACTTGGGGTGTATTAAAAAGGCCTCGGCAAGGTGAGTGACTACAGTCCACTATAATACTTTGGTGATGAAGAACATTTGCCAGCACTTTAACCTTTGTTTGTTCTTCTACTGTTCCTTTTACACTTTCATTAAAAGCAGGTACACAAATATCAGACATTTCCAATCCAACAACATCATCGTTTTAAAATCTGATTTCACCTCAGAATGTTAATGTGCAATCAACATATGGATAATGATATGGAAACATTATTAATTGGATAACAGGAAGATCTCTACGATGGTCAATCTGCAGTTTAGACAATGTGCTAAAATAAGATGTAATTGAGAAACTACTTCTTTTTACAAGTTATCCCAAAAAAGTGACACCCAAAATGGTGTTGGAAATATAGAATACAGATTTCAATTGAGAAGATTTAAAGTAAATATAATTGTTTTCTAAGAACATGAATATATTACAGTATTCTTCCTTCTAGAATGCTTTACCTTATGATACTACTTACTCTAAGCCAAATTATTTAAAAATAATCCATGCTTAGATTCATAATTACAAATGCCATTTGAATCAAAATAAATGCAGGTAAAAAGATACTATATGATTGCACCTCTTAACTGGCAATGAGACTGTTTGCATGTTTTAACCAGATTCCAGGCTTGAACAAATGTGATGAAAATCAACACGAGCTCATCTCTGTGGAAACTGGCAAAGCAACAGATGCTGCTTTAACTGGAAATAGCTGGGACTTTTGAATCCTTAGATGAAAAACATTTTGTGAAAAAATGACTTATCCTGTGACTTGATTCATGGACAAAGAAACTATATGTTGTTTAATTTATTCCAAAGTAGTGTTTCAATTTAAAATGATAGAGGCAATGTAGTCTAATCTCTTTATTTTTGACTTTTCTCTTTCCTGATTCTGCCTTTACATCGTTAAGTTCATCTCCCTAACTTAATTGAACATTCATTCAAATAAGAAGTCTGAAAGCTTTTTGAGTGAAAATGGCAAACTGAATTGTTATTTTGACAAGTCCTTAATTAAACTTTCAGAATACCTCTAACTCAGTTGTTTTCTATTGTTTCTTCTGAACAGAGATGGTGCATATGTCACCTATGTGAGATGAGTACAAGATGGTTAAATGCAGTATAACCACAGGCCAAGGGGAATGTCTCAATGCTGCGACACAGAAAATACCAAGCAATCGATAACTTCTGCATAGCAGAGGATTTTATCTAAAGCTCACTCAGTATGGAAGTTGCTGAAGGGGTGTTGGGGGGTGGGAAGTTCTCCAATAACATGTGGCTGTAGCTGCACTTTATCATGTGTGCACTAAACAAAAAGGAAAATAAAAGCAAATCTCCTTCAAATGAGCCGTGTCATAATAATAATAATAGGTAACATCACTATAGGGCTTACTATGTGCCAACTATCTTTCTAAGCACTTTTTGGAATCTTCACAACTGTCTGAGGAAGGCATGTGAACCCCAGCTCCACCACTAATTAATACATGATCTTTAAAAAAACTACCAAATCTCTTAATCCTCAATTTCATCACCTGTAAAATTAAGGCCACCCCTACTGATTTCACCTGAATATTCTGAGAATTAAGTGAAATTATTTAATAGATATATATATAATTAAGTTATATATGTAACTTACGTATGTAATTTATATATATATAAATATATATACACATTGCTTGTACAATAAAAATTGGTCATTTTCATCCATAAGTCCCTAAATACAGGCTACATAACTCTACAAATTTCATTTATACACATACGTACACACAACTAAAATATTTAGCCAAGTAATAATATCTTAAATCTGTCCCTTTTGTCTATTTTTTTCTTTAAATTGGCAGTGGTTTTTATAACTGAATTGACTAATAGCTTAACATGCATAGCATGTGCTATATCACAAAGTAATTTCCTAGTCTACCCTATGCACTGCTCTGAGGATTATTGAATAAGATCTGTAGCTAAGGCACTTCCAAAATTTCACCCATCCCCCTAGATGTAATAACTG